GGACACCTCACGGCTCGCCCACTGGACCGCCGGCTCCCCTCGTTCCCGGGTGGCTGGCACAGCTCAGACCCACTTAAGCTCCCGCACCCGGGCCGAGTTCAGCACTCACGATCCTCCAGCCGAGCAAGACACAGCAAGCAGCAACTAGGTCTACCCCAGGGCTTACCTGGATCTTTTAGGTCCAAGGTTTTTCGTGTTGTCGTCGTGGATAAATTAAAGAGATTGACACCCCCACGACGGACAAGACGATTGGCTCTTGGTGTAACTGCTTTGGGTGCAGTTGCGTAATACCTGCTTTGGGCTAGTGCTTTTAATTACAGGCCTTGATGTGCAAGTAATTAAAAGCACAGTGGCAGCCGATAGTTTCACTGCGAAGTGTTCGGCCGAACATATAAGGGCTCACGCCTGTTCGGCAGGGTTCCGACCCCGACCGGCCTTCCCAAATAGAGACCGTTGGCTACCCTGTGTACCTCACCGTGTTTGATACCACTTCCACCTTCCATCGTCCAGTTAATTAGCTCTGCTTGCCTCCCCTCTACCCATCATTCATCACCCTCGCTATGGGGTAACCCATGGGTCACGTTATCAAATTAGCGTATACTGGGGAGCCTATCTCTTGTGAGGAGGATCTCCACCTACAACCTGGAACCCGAATGCTTCATTCACATCGACCAATGCCTAAACTGCTACCGCTTTCACCACAAAAAACACCAATGCACACTCCCCCAGAGATGCTCTCGGTGCGCCGGCGACGGTCATTTCTTCGCCAGGTGCACTGAAACCATCAAATGCTGCAACTGCGAGGGAACCCATGTCGCAGTTAGTGGATCCTGCCCTAAACGGAAGGAAATACTAAAGTGTGCCAAATACAACGCAAAAAGATTCGCAAACATTGTCCGTATTATCCTCCAAAGAAACGGCTTCCCCAGCATTGTTGTCCCTGAGGAAATCTTTGAAGACGACAACCTATACATCCCTGATTACGCCACAACAAACACAGAAACCACAGGAAATGAGGTGACAGACACTCACCCAGAGCCTCATTCTTCCTCACAACACCGACACCTCCTTTTGCAACCTCAGCCACAACGAAGACAAAAAGAAACTGCACAGGCACGCCAAACTACAAAAACCACCGATCACAAACGCAAACAAACCACACCACCATCCACGCACACCAAAAAAGACAAAAAGGATCCTCCTGTCCCCCAAGCTCGTCGTCGTAGATTGGATGACACCATTCTTGACGACGACAGCAGCGACTCCGACATCGATGTCGAGAGCGTTCTCGAGGCCGGTCTTGGGCTCTCGGCTGGAGCCATGCTCCCTGCCAGGGGACCCCTGGGACAGCGCGGAAGCATCGGGAATTGGTCCGCCGATTCCCAGGACTTCCGCGCCGGTTCACAGGACTCCCTGCCTAACCTCGAGGAGCCGTCGATCGCGCATCGATCGCGGAGCCGCTACAGGGCCCAGGTTACGCCACGCAAGGTACACCCAGGTAGAATGGGTGTACCTTGAGTGACTAACTGACGACCGACCGAGCCGACGCGGGTTCTTCCACCTCGGTGGAGGACCCCGTGTTGGCTAGGTCGATCTAGACGCGCAATCCCACGCACGAGCTGCATCTAAACAAAACAAAAACTCTCTCCTTCACACACAAACACTCTACTCTCACCAACAACAAACACTAACAAACACAAACTCCAGCTTGTTCTGATGGAATGAAGCACTCAGACGGTTCCCTGTAGTGGGTCGTGACCGATCTATTACACGTCTGAACTCCGCGATGAAGCCTCTCGCTTCCTCCTTAACATCCTGCGGGGTGAGTTGGCCTGTAGACAGACCAACAAACTCCGTGCTTGACTCACCACTGGCTGGATGGACTCACCCTCCATCCTTCGTTCCGGCTGAAGATCAGGTTTAGGCCATGATCTCTTTCTTTGGCATGGGACAGGGAATGATGCGGTTTTCGGGTTTTGCCGCATCACTTTGAAGCCACCTTCTACTCATTCCTTTCAAATTTCCCCTTCCCCTATCCACTCGTTTTTTTTTCAGTTTTTCAGTGTTCAGTTTTTCGTGTTCTCTTTCTGTCTGATTTTGTTTTGTTGTTTGTTTTTTGTGGTCCTGTACCTTTTTAATCTCATTAATAAAGTAATCTCCCCCAGATACTGCCCTCTCTTATCCCCGTTTTTAAATACCTTCACCTCGTCTCCTGACGCTTGTGACCGCCACCTCACCCATCACCCCTTACCCTCGCTCATACCATATTCTTGCCATAGCGTTGACCCTCATCCTTATCCTTACCCTGACATCCCACTGGTTTCGGTTTCCGACACGTGGCGCTTACTGCTAGTACTCGTGCCAGGACCACAAATCCTTTAGCGTAAGGGTTTGTGCGAGCCGAGGAAAGAAGCGTCACGGCCAGTGGAGTTAACGCAATCGTGGCGTGGCCGCCCGAGCCGCGCCCCTCCGGAAGACCTGCGGCCGAGGAAGAGAAATCTCCTCTCGACCCGGGCGGGAGGGGCCAGCCTCTGTGTGGCCTCACTCGAGCTTCATCCTGCTTCAGCGGTGATGGTTAGCCGAGGGACAGCTCTGGAGCCACGGTCGAGAGGCCGTGGCTCCGAGCATACCGCAGATGGCGCCAAAAACCTGCTAACTTCTTTCTCCTCCCCCTCAGTTAGCCGCGAGGCTCCGTGTTCGCCATAGCGAGGCTCCACGCCCCGTGGGAAAAATATGGTGAGGCGAGCCGCGCTCAAGGTCGCGGGGTATTCCCCGCCCCACGAGTCGCGGCCTTGCCTCGCCGCACGATCTCGCGAGGTGCGGCCGCGCGGTGAACACGCGAATCTGCCGATGGCGCTGGGCCCCTCGATCTTTTTCCTCTTTCAACAAACCCACT